GTTCTCCAAGCTCTAGCCATGGATCGTCAGCTTGTTCTAATTTTAAAATCCCAGCAGGATCAACAGTAGTTGTGGCATTAATCTCCAACTGCATCTTTCTTTCCATCTTTGATCAATTTTTTCTCCCTACCTGGCAGAAATTGGCTCGTAGGTCTCTGACACCTCTCCAGCGAATTGGAATCGGTCATGTTTTAAATGTCCTAAGCATAGCCATAGCGGCCTTGGTGGAGTCAAGAAGGTTGAAAATAGCCAATGCCAAGCACATTCAGGCACAGCCTGGTGCCCTAGTCCCTATGCCTGTTCTCTGGTTGTTTCCACAACTTGTTGTTAGCGGCCTTGCAGATGTTTTCTATTTCCCAGGACAAGTCACATTGTACTATCAAGAATTTCCAGTTTCTCTCTGAAGCACAGCCACTGCCATGATATCTTTGATAGTAGCGATTGCTTACCATGTGAGCACTGCTTTGGTGGACCTGATCAAGAATGTCACAGGTTGGTTACCTGATAATATAAACGAGGGGAGGCTGGATAAGGTATACTGGACTCTATGTGTGATCGGTTCGTTGAACTTTGGCTACTATTTGGTGTGCTCTTGGTTGTACAGATACATAAATATTGAGGAGGAAATGGCTCGATCTGTAAACGAGGACAATGAAGAAACAAGGCAAGAAGGTTGAACCATATTTTTTGGCCTTCAAGAAGGTTGAACCTTGAGAAGAAAAATGAATGAAGAGAGAAAACGAAAAGAAGCTAGAATAAATTTGTCTGTATCTTAGTGCTCATCTAGTAAATCCACTTTAGTTACAGCTCAAGAATCGCTTAGGTTTGTTTATGAAATGCCTCATGATTCATGAATCAAAGAATAGTTATTAAACCATCTCCATTCAGCCTGGTTCGTGCATGATTGCAAAACCTCTCAAAATAGATCAGCGCCCTTTTGTTATTGGATCAAGCCATCATTAGCAGGGAAGCTTTGTATATTAGTTTTACTTTAATCAAATCTTATAATCATATATTTTACAATGATTCTTTTTTCTTTTGCCTCCAAAATTATAATTTTAGACATCTATTGATT